CGTATTTGATGCACCTGTGTACATTTCGTGTGTTCAGTAAAAAACAAAATCGGGCGTTATTCCTACGAGTTGGTGATTTTGAATTCATAAATCCTATAACAAAAAAGTATCGACAATTCCTTCAGGATTATCTGTATGAGCAGTCAAGTCTTTCACATTCTTTATTATGTGTTATGTTATAAATAATGACCGTAATGTTATCGTATTGGATAATTGTAGTTATCGATTATATTGGATACACTTCGTTCGTTCGAAATGTATTCAATGTGCATCGTTATCATTAATGATCGTGATATTATTGTATTTGATGCACATTTTTAGTTTATTTACATAATTAGTAATCTGTTCAAAACAGAATACAAGTTCTAAACTGCTGAAAGTTCGGTACTTGAAATCGTAATTAATTGCTACATAGGCGAATTCCTTCAAATCCTTTGATACTTCAGATTAATATTCAAATTGATGAAAGCTTAATGAATTTTAATGTAATAATTGAACTAATAAAAGTTTCAATTGTATTGCTTCTTTCGATTTTATATAATCGTTCAAAGAAATTAATGTGTTGCTTCTTTTTTTTAATATTTAAATGCAATATTTAAACTGATGAAAGTTCGATACTTGGAGTCGTAATTAATTGCAACATAACCCGACTCCTTCAAATCCTTTGATGCTTCGGATTAATTTAAATAGTTAATACTATTAGTTTACACTCTCCCTATATCTTGTTCATAGTTTCAACGACTACCAATGTTCAATTTCGTAGCCTTTGTAATTTTTAACCCAATTCAGAAGACAAGGGAACTTCTGTATCAAGCATTGGGAGAAATTGGTCGTGGTGGAGGACTTAGTGATAGAACTAACCTGTATTTCTGTTACAGGGAGAGGAAAACCACGAAAATCTTTCCCATCTAGCCTGACTGCAAGTGGACTCTAACCCATGATCCATCTACCATTGGGGATATTTTACGTTAGCACTGTGGTTGGTGCAAACCAGGTTTTAACTCCAGTTCACCTCATTGGAAGGCGAATGTTTAATCCCCTATGCGATCGCGGTTCAGCTCAGTGAATTAAAAAAATTATAAAACTATCCCAGCTGTTCATGACGCTTTTCTTTTTCATTTTTTTTTCTTAAAAATATAAGGGAGCTCAGCTCAGTAAACTCTGTGATTGTTTTTTTTTCAGCATTTTATTCACTAAAAGACAAACTTTCAACAAAAAATAAATATATAAAATACTATAGTATTATAATTTTTGTGTTTAAAATGCAGGATTAAAAAATAATCAACTGTACTTGGAATAAAAATTTAAACTTGGAAATATATAATGTGACTCACAATTCGAAGAAATAAAAGTAATTAGACTCATTTACGATGTCATTAGGGATTGTTTTTCATGTATCTAAATTTTTATATTTTCGAAAATGTTTAGATTTTTTTATTTAATTTGACCAATGACTATGATTATACTAGTCAGTACACATCTTCAATCACTGTTTACATGTCTATATTCAGTTTTTATTAAAAAGGTTTAATAAACGGAGTTAAAATAATGGAATTAGAATACAAAAAAANAAACAAAAAAAAAAAAAAAAAAATTTGTAATGTTCACAATTACGATGAATGATGCTATTTTGTGCAATAACACTCATCAAAGAAAAAATAAAACTGAAAACGAAACCAGCATACCCTTACACGGGTTGCTGGTCCGGGGAACCAAGGGACGTTGTTTTCGGTTGTCCGAGTATAATTTTATTGGTCCTGAATTACCGGACCACCGTTAATTTCTTGCACTGTGTAAATGCATTTTTGTGTCGTGGTTAATTACACTGTTACACCTAAGTAATTTACAACTGATCTGACGGATTCAAAACTAAAACTGAACTGATTTGCTTCAATTGTTTCGAATCAGTTGTTTTTATCGAAATATATTTAAATTATGACGAATAATTGTTTCTTAAATTACAGTTAGTTTTGTTTCAGAGTGATGCTATGCCATATACAGTTAAAAATTTATTTTAAAACTCAATAGATTCTTACGAATTCTTTATTAAGTACTTAAGATTTTCCAATTAAACAATTCGATGAAATCAGATAAAAGATAAATATAAAAATAAAAAATTTCTTTTGTAGTTTTTAAAAATGTATTATAGTTAAGTCTTTATAGCAATTAACAACATATAAATATAATATTTGTGCAAGCATTGTGTTAATTTTATTCTCAGACTACCCCACATTTTTGTTGCGTGTGATGTTTGTTTCACTAGTGTTAATTTTGATCTCGCGGAATTAGCAGCGTTGTTGTCGCATAGAAATGATGGCCGCGTAGCGTAGAAATGATGGTGGTTTAGAAAAAAATAATTATTGAAAAATTATTAATCACGTAGATTGCCGAATTTTGCCTCAATTTTTATGCGGTTTATTTTCTTTTGCGCTGAATCCTTCATTTTTTTCTAATTCTGTTCGTCATTAAAAGATTCTTTAAATTGCCGATAAATTTTTAGGCGTCCTTTGCCCCATATATGTAACTCACGGTGTCATATGTATTACGATGAATTACTTTACAGTGTCACATAAATATCGGTGCTGTGTTTCTAATTTATACATACCTGTTTCTGTGTGCATGCATCGTGTCATATTTATTTTTGATTTATGATCAACGTTTTTATACTTTTTCAATGTCCTTGTAGTGTATCTACCACTACAAAAATATAATTCTAATTTACTAGCATATGAGACATGTTAACTCGATTCTATGTTGGGCGACCTTTTCATACATGACGGTTGACATGGTCGATAACAACTCTCCCCGCATTGGTGACCGTCGGACGCAATGTGAACACGCATACTTTGGCAGAAACGCCCAATACGATTTGAACACGACTACTTTGATGGTTGGTTCACACTGAACAGTTGACTTGCTATTTGTGACTGCGATATTAACCACCTCCTCGTACTGTTGCTACTCAGTTTCGATCACGCGCAATGTACAATGTATTCACTCGACTGCTAATAGCAACACAAGAGTGACCTCGACCATGAGCATAATACAGCTCTCACGATCAGCACTCAAAAGTACGGTGATCTTGATGCAGCTCTCCCGACTTCTCACAAAACAGCAATGAATCAACTAGTGGTATCCGTTCATCGAATTCTATCACAGCTATAATTCTGGTGTGGGAGTACTGTAGTGTATCTACCACTACAAAAATATAATTCTAATTCACTAGTATATAAGACATGTTAACTCGATTCTATGATGGGGTACCTTTTCATAGAGAAAGGTTGATATGGTCGATAACAACTCACTCCCCACATCCTCATAGACATTTCTTAGATACTCATGAACACAAGCTGTGTCCTCGTTTACCCATTAGTTTTTGAGTTTGACATAGTTTTGAAGATATTGTAAAGGAGACATTGAAAGACGAACCGAACTCAATCTTATTCTTACGTGGACCTAAATATGATCGCATTCATAAATTCCATTTACACTTTTTTTTTTTAAATTGGGTATTTATACTTCAAGAAGACCTCCCCTATCCACGCACATGACCTATGATATCAGCGCCAGCTAATCTTTATCAGAAAAATGGCATATTAAAGTCGAGCTAAGTTTCTCTACATGAGTTAGAATGTTAATTAACGATCAGTTAATTCAATATAGAGTCGTATCACACATCGAATTCGTTGAAAAATCATTCGTTCTCGCCAACTTCTTTTATTTAACTTAGATCTATTACTTGTTTATGTATTTTATTGTAACCGTAATTTTTTTCATTTACATTTCTACCATCCTATATCTACATTACTATTTGCCACTAAATTTTAAAGTGTTTTATTACCCATTAGCAAAATGGGTGTTATGGGTTTGATGGCGTGAGGACCTTATTTGCACGTCATCACACTTCTCAACTGTGTTCAAGAGCAATAGTAAACAGTGCGCATGCGTCGTCATTGCATACGGTGCCATGGAGACGACTGCTGTTTGATAATTTACTTTAGAATTCTTTTATTTTTTTCACTTTTAACTTTGCATTAAGTGGATGAGTTTAGTTTTAAGATATGGGGCCAGAGAAATCCCATAAATGCTTCTTGAGTTGTGAATAAAAGAGAATGTTCTCATTTGGGATGTATTTATAAGGAATGTTTTATATTCATAGTCACTCGAAATTCAATAAATGTGCAAGTATCAGTACACAGCAACTTTTCTGTGACTTAATTTTGTAATTCCTTTTGTGAGAATTCAATTTTGCAATTCATTTCCTGAGAATGTAATTTTGTAATTCCTTTTGCGAGAACGTAATTTTGTAATTCCTTTTGTGTGAACGTAATTTTGTAATTCATTTGAATGTAATTTTGGCATTCTTTTTGTGTAAATGTAATTTTGTCATTCTTTTTGTGTAAATGTAAATTTGTTATTCTTTTTGTGTAAATGTAATTTTGTCATTCTTTTTGTGAAAAATGTAATTTTGTCATTCTTTTTGTGTAAATGTAATTTTGTCATTCTTTTTGTGTAAATGTAGTTTTTTTTAATTCTTTTTGTGTAAATGTAGTTTTGTNTAAATGTAATTTTGTCATTCTTTTTGTGTAAATGCAATTTTGTCATTCTTTTTGTGTAAATGCAATTTTGTCATTCTTTTTGTGTAAATGTAGGAGAGAAAACCCAAGCACTAGTGTAGAGCTTATTGCTTCAGCAAATTTTGGCTGTTTGAATTGGCAGCCAAGTGTGTTGCGAATTGGTGAAAAACATTAAAGCCTGAAGGAGAAACAGAAAGAGTTGTTGGCAATTTCACCAATAATGAAACCCGTTGACCATGCTAATGAGAGAAGCCTTGCTTTGTTAGAGGCGATGTTTTACAGCCTGAGAAAAGAGATCAACAGTCTGAAAAAATGTTTCAGATTTGTTAAGTTCCTGGCCTCTACTTTTCACGGAGAAAGGTTTCTTTCTGCATTTTAAATTGTTGACTGGGGTTAATATTCCAGAGCTCTTTAAAAAGAAACAAAAATTCCTAGAATCATTAACTTTTTTAAATCTTTGCCTAAGAAAAAAAACAGTATACAAGACATATTGAAGAAATTTGAAAATGATGATGAAACTTGCAATGAACTGTTCTTAGTCATATCTCTGCTTTTGGAGTACGTTAATTGAAAAAGGGAAGCAATTTTTATTTCAGTTGACATAAGTATTTATCATATATTTTTCTATAATTTTTTTGTACATATTGGGCAAATCTCTTAATTTCAGACATCTTCCTATAGTCAAACACAATAAGATAAAATATTTGCAGTTATTGACTTACCTTTTTTTTATTTCCAAAGACAATACAAAAAAGAACAACAGTAAGGCTAAAGATGTACCAAAAAAAAAAAACTAGAAATTTTAGATCACAAACGATGACCGACGTCATTGCCTCATTAAAAGTAATCTTTTTCGCAATACAATGACTCCTCAAAATCGCTATGAAGTGGTGAGCTCGATTCACTGGCCTTAACGAATCAAGCAAATAAAAATTATAAAGAGAGCAGTTTGGATGTTCTCCTAGACAGTCATTACTACCATAAGGCAGAATTTAGCAACAGTTGCGCAACATGAGTTGAGAATGGACAAAAAACTGTCAATTCTCTGCAACATAATTTGTTTAATATACAGCTTTACAGAATGGAAAGATATTTCCTTCCTCCCAAAGTAATGAGCTTGTTCGTTCTCATAAATTCTACAGTTGCCAGGTATCCACTGGTGTGCTTCTTTTTTAGGACCAATCTTTGCAAGTAATCTTGACATTAAAGGATTTCGTTCGATGAAGAAGCGCTATTTGAACTAACAGGGTGCGTAGCGTTTGTAAAACGTACTTAAAGGTGCTTTTTTGAGGATTTCGTTTTTAAAAGCTTTTAAAGGTGCTTTTTTTCAGCTGGCGTTTTTAAAAAGTGCTTTTTTTTCGATTTTTTTTTCTCCCTTTAGTGATATCTGGTGCATTCCATGCATTTCACGAAAAATGGGGGGTTTGCTACATAATCATTCATGCGGACTTCATGTCGTACTGCAACAGTTGCGCAACATGAGTTGGGAATTAACAAAAAACTGTCAATTCTCTGCAACATAATTTGTTTAATATACAGCTTTACAGAATGGAAAGATATTTCCTTCCTCCCAAAGTAATGAGCTTGTTTGTTCTCATAAATTCTACAGTTGCCAGGTATCCACTGGTGTGCAACCCGCTTCTTTTTTAGGACCAATCTTTGCAAGTAATCTCGACATTGAAGGATTTCATTCGATGAAGAAGCGCTATTTGAACTAATGACCTGGATTGCTGCTTGAAAATCAGAGAATAGAACCACTTTCTAAAATTTATCTTCAAAAACCAATAACTGCTTTAGCGCAATGCGAATGGCGTCCATCTCTCCGTCAAAGACTGTTCTGTATTTCTCTACAGGAGCATCAAAAGGAAAGTAGGTTCCATAAACTCTTGCTGTCATAAT